TCCGAATATATTTTACATCTCTGAGGTGCAGCATCTCTAGCCAAAATTTTAAGCAGCAATATTTGCTTTTTTGAACTCCCTCTCCACTCCCACTGAGGCATCCAAAATGAGCAGTCACTTTTAAAATGTAAGCTGTGTAGAGTGATGGATTTTTGACCTTTTGTTTAGTGAATTTCATATATAGTTGCTCTTTTAAAAATATAATGTAACTATAGTTAAATATTTAGTGCACATACAGATCTTTACAATCTTAATCCAGTGAGTAGTCTTAGTGACTTCCTTGAATTCTTTTGTGCATGAACAGTTACAGGATGAAAAGCAGATAGACGAAGGACACCCTTATAGTTAAAGTATAGGACTGACAGTCAGGAGAGATGAATCAATCCCTTAGTTAATTTGGACAAACATTGTGTCTAAGTTGCACCATCTATAACAGGGTGATAACATTTCCCTGCGCAACAGAGAGAACTGTAGCCTGAATTAATTTTGGTGAGATGCAATGTGAGACTGCTTAAAGTAGCTAGGGAAATGGAAAGTATTGTTACTCTATTTGTCATCATCCCAAAGGAAATTAAAGGATATGTAGGCAGTTATAAAAAATATAGTAGACCTGATATACGATTAGTTAACCCATCTTTCTACATAGATGTATCAAAGTTTAAATATTCTTCAGATTAGTAAGGTGGTTTGCAATGACTATTTTTATAATGAAAACATCTTAATATTTTTTTTTTATGCCAGAGTAATAGCTTCCATATGTGAATACTCCATTTTCATTTTCAGAAAGGTTCAGTAAAGCTCCCTGAAATCTAAACCAAGACAGAGCACACATGCATGACTCCTCATTGCTGACTGACATCCCTACAAACTCAAAGAAACGCAAACTAGTACTTTTATCTAGAGAATGATGAATGCTGTTTCATGCTTCATGGCTCCTAAGCAATACTGAAAGTTTTGGCTGCATATATAAAATATATTATGTTACCTGCAAAGTGTGGTCAGTCAGATTTATAGGAATTGCTTACTATGATTTTTTCTCATTGCAGTTCGTTAGTAGAGCTGGGCTCTGAAATATTCAGTATATCTAGAATGAATGATGAATTTTTTTACTTTGTATAAATAAGTGGACAGATGCAGTAATGCATTTTGCTATGACTTACTGCATTTTCTGTTTATCTTAAAATGAAGGTTTCTGGCCAGATTTTGAAACCTATCCTCTCAGTAGCGAGTGGCTTCTCTCACTAATAATCCTATCAGAGTTAGCACAATAAAGGCCCTCAGAGCAATAATGCTAGACAGAATGATGATGAGAAGATTACCTAAACTTCACAGAAGCAAAACATAAGAGCTTCCTAAGTGATTAATGATCTAAAAATAAGTGCTGGTGAAACAAGCATTTGCATACAGGGACCCTCTAAATATTTAACTCCTCTGGATGTTTTTATTCCAGTTATCTAAATCTATGACCTCCCTAAGAAGTGACATCTTGGTTGACAAAAGGAGGACAGAGTTATAAATCACTTTTAAATGTTTTATTCAGGAAAAAAAAGAAGCAGTTTTAATAACAATGAAAAAATGTCCTCTGTGTATAAAGAAATGAAAGTAATTAAAAACAACATATTACTGTGAAACTGGAGGGGTCACGGGTTCCTCCTCCTTCCAGCTATGGAGAAAACAGCCATGTATGAAACATTACAAGGTCATTAAACTTGTCTTCCACATCCCGTGTCACTTGCGAGATAAGGTTGCATGCATCTCTCAAGCATATCTAACAGCATAGTGTCTGATGTAGGGGAAGATTAATTCTTGGTACCCAAGGCATAGGTGGGAATTAGTAACATATTAACCTGGTCAGAAAAGAAAGGAAGAATTGTTACATCTACACCAGGGTGCTTAAAGTGGTACTTATGTGAATATATAGCATGGATCAATGAATTATGAGTGAGCCACATCTCATACTTACTGATGCTCTTTTCCTATTCTCCAGAAACAGTTTCCTGTGTTTTGGTATGAATCCCTAAGGAACCACTGGAACACAAGAGATAATGGGATCAGATGAGTTATTCCAACCTATTGGCCCCTCTAGCCTGTGACCCATGTCTTCTTCCTGTTAAAAACTGAAAGGTAAAAATTACCTTAGTTCATTGGTATTTTCCGTTCTGCAAGCTAAAGAAAGGCCATGCGTATAGCACACTGATGGACGCCAGTGGGATGATGAAATGTATTAATATGCATAACTCTTAATCAGTTCAAACTCATGCACATCACAGACATACTGGGCATGTCTACACATGCATTTACGTCACATTAAATTTACTGTGCAATAAGTGGAAATAGGCCGGCATCTACATATGCAGGCACTAAAGTGCATTAATGCTGTGTGTGGTCTGACTTGGGACTAAAGTTAGGGCCAAGTCAGTCCACACACACAGTGCTACTTCTTGGTAACGTGTCTACACGTATGTTACTGTGCAGTAACTAATCAGGTATAAATTTGATATCTGCATGGTGCCCAAGTTGGCGTAAGTTGCCATAGTTACTGCATAGTGTGGGCATGCACATGTAGACGTGTGCCCATACTGCACAGTAATTTAGGTTACTGCACAGTAAATTTGCATGTGTAGATGTGTCCACTGTGTGTAGAAGGCAGTTGCTGGTACAGATATCCTCCATTTCTCTAATGACTCTTCCAGCTTATGATCTAGATGAGAGTTTTACATCAGCTTTTGTGAACCTAATCAAGATATAACTACAATTTACAAATCTTTAGAAAACCATAACTTACCTCCATCCCAGGAAGCACCTGTACAGTAATCCATTCTGAATTCTTCACTTGGTGAACTGGAACCCACTGAGCCAAACTGGGTCTTGAAGCATCTCCCTGCTTTCATCATGAATGCTTGCTGTCCATGTTCCATTTTACATCACAATACCTTAGGAGTGTGGGCCTTTGGGCCTTTGAAGCTGGCCTCAGTATATTTGTGTGTTTGTGTGTCCCATGTCATCTGAAAGTACAAAGTTTATGGACTTTGCCTTGAGTCAACAATCTGTAAAGGCGTAGGTTATCTTCTTACCTTTGTGGGGGCAATATTTTGTGGAGCACCTGCAGGCAGTTAAGAGTCTGAACACATTTGCTTTTGTAGTGCAATAGAGCCATTTTTTGTTCTGAGCAGTAAGTGAATAATATATGTAAGCCTATTTTAACTTGCTCAGTGATGATTATGAGCATATTGGTACTGAGAACATGGATGCCCACCTGATATTCTGTGGCTACTGGGACATGGATCTTCCAGTCAAGCGCCAAATTGGCATCTGTTTTTGAAGTGTGAATGTATATGTAATTACAGTATCTCTCTGATGGCTCATCTGATAAAAAATTGATATATCACTTCAGAATTTTCATATCACCAGCAGAAATTAAGTCCAATTTAGTTTAAAAGAGATTTTTTTCCCCTCAAAACTTTATTGTATTTACTCAAATACAAGACAAAGATTTCTCCCCATTGGTATGCAGAATAAAAGCTCTTGTTCTTTACATGCAAGGAAATCTCACTAAATACAGTCTATCATTAAACTGCTGCCAAAATCTGCACATGCTCAGCAATTGAAACCAACTATGAAGTTGATTAAATGAAGCTGATACTAAGCATAATTGTAAAATACATGGCCCACACTGGGCAAACATGCTGACTGGAATGTAGCACAAGAATAGATTAGTGTAAGAAGACAGGGGAAGTCTTCCAGGGGAAAAAGTTGCGGGGAAGCAGAGAGCAAAGGGACTACCTGACCCCTCAGATTTATTTTCCCTGCTGTAGTAGTGGGAGAGGGATAAATTCAAGACAAACCTCCAGTAATTAGATTCTATACCTGGTAAATTATAACATTTACAAATTTTCCATGCATGAAATCTAATTATTGGGGGCCATCTTATTATCAGGGCATCTTGTGTTTGAGTAAATGTGGTATTTGCAATCATGACTACTGCTTTTTATAAGCTAACCCAGGTCAGATCTCTTGAGCATTTGAAAGAGATTAGAAGGAAATCAGCATTTGGCAGAAAGTTATATTTCTGATTCAGTGATACACTTTCTTGTGAGGCAGTCTGGGCCCAATATTTCTAGGATAAATGTCTATTTATCAAAGTTTTTTGACAAAACTGGAACAGGTTTACAAACATTTGAAATTGCTAATTTTTAAATCTATTTTATTTTATTGTAAATTAAAAAAATGTGTTGATAGTTGAAGAATTGCTAGGAAGCTTTCTAGAATTTCAAGCTGGATGGATTAGTGGTGATTATTTCAGTTCTGTTTCTTTACTTGGCTGTTATTACCTCATGTGACCAGATGGGTTAATTGAAGTCAATATGACCATTTTCAAGAAGGAATAACTCTAATACATGTACTGTCTCTGAACCAAGGGAAGGCAAGGAAGGGAGAGAAGAAGACAATGTCCAGCGGTTAAAACTGTTACAGTGGAATGAGGTCTCATTGTTAGAATTCAGTTGTGTTGGGCTTTTCTGAACTGGAGAATCTTTCCATTACTTTCCATGTTTTTATATGAGTTTTTTTAGTTGTTTTCTGAATGCCTTTCTGATGATCATATATAGAGTATATAAGATTTTATGCTGTTACTACCTTATATCCTATTCTGGATACTTTGTTGCCCTGATACAGTAGTCCTTTACTGTACAGATATTGTCAACACATAAATAGCATGGAAATATAAAAAATGTATCTATACTGCAAAGAACTCCATCCTGCCTGGGGGCAAGATGATAGCTTAAGTGACCTGCTAAGGTCCTTTATAGCCTTATTGCTCTGATTTCTAGTCCTCAAACCTAACACTTGCTGGCAGAATATCCCTACTCTTTCTATTACCTACTATTTCTGTTGCTATTTTGTGAATGCAGAATAGCCCCGGTAGGGCATACTTTTCTCATTACTTCCTCCCCCCAAGATTTCCAAGCTTGCTATAATAGAAATAGAAAGCATATGAAAAATCATCTTGAATCTGTTACCTGAACTTTTTTCATTTCCAGTTTGCCCTTCTCATTAGGGGTCTGGCCGGCTTTTTCAACGGCCTTTTTTTGACGCTGAGGACCTTTTCCAAAGAATATGTAGTTCACAAAGGCATATTCCAGCAAGGCCAGAAACACGAACACAAAGCATCCCATTAGGTAAATATCTATTGCCTTTACATATGGAATCTTTGGCAGCGTCTCCCTGAGATGGGTACTGATTGTGGTCATTGTCAGCACTGTTGTGATTCCTGTGAACAACAAAAAGATAAACTGACAAAGACAACTGATTAAAACCATTCTTCACTTTTGAAAGGCAGCAGATTGGTGCTGAGACTCAAACATATTTCATTTATGATGCTGGGTGGCTTATTTAATTGATTAGAAGAGTGTAACAAAATAATATTACTGCTGATCAAGGCCATTTGTTCTCTGAACATGTTAATTTATGTGTTTAAACTGCAGGTGAGAGAGGTCTTTTCTTCAAATGATATTGCATAGCTCATATTGCTCCGCTCTCCCTGGCCTTTTCCATGGGTGGAGGGTTAACTGATTAGCTCTATTTATCTCTGGTTTGTTCTTCTCACTAGTAGCCTCCTCTGACATTTATGATACAGCAGACCTTTTCCAAAGTGATAATAAAGTGTTTTCCAGTGTTGGCTGACACAACCAGGGGGAACAGGTGTGTTATGGAGGGAGCACACTTGGCTTTTTTAGATCAGGGGATGTTGCCCAGTTTATTTTTTGCTGTAGTCACCTGCCCAGATTCACCTACAGTGGAGTTAAATTGACTGGCATCCTGGAAACAAAGTAAATATTAGCCAGAGGAAAGATATCATTAGTGTAATTTCTGAATAGAGAAAGAGTAGCTCCAGAATGTCATGGTGGACAGTGGCACAGGGCATTCTGGGCATCAGGGGGCAGCATGGAAGTGGAAAAGAAAAGTCTTACTCTAGTGGAGGTGGTGGCTGCTGCTCAGTGTCAGCTTTCCCAAGGCTGGGCTTCCTCCAGATCTCAGTGTCCCATTCCCATTGCCTCTTCATCTCCCTGCTATACACATGTTGGGAGCAGAGCTTGTGTGCTCTGGCAAAGGCTCCTGACAGGCTACCATTATGCTTATCCCACTTGTCCCGTTGCCCCACAGACATCCTGTCTGATGTCATGCTACCTTGTCTGACTGCTGTGGCTGGGCAGTGGCAGTGCAGGGCTTCCCCTGCCACTGAAAGTTCCCTGGAGAGTGGCATCGGAGGGAGGGGAGCACCATTCTACTTGCTCTACTCCTTCTCTTACTTCCCAGATGGACTGAGTGATGCAGCACTGTCCTGACTTGCTCCTGTGATTGGCCAGGGGCAGTGTGTAGCTTCCCCTGCTGTGTCAAAGAGTCCCAGCAAGGGGGATCCTGGTGCATGCCCTGTTCTAGCTGTGCTTTGTGCTACTGCTGGTGGACAGGGAAGTAAGGGAAGTGATGTGCCCAACATAAGGTAGACTGCTTTACTAACTTCTAAAGGGATCACCTTGTTGTATGAAATGCAGATTTTCAGGTTGGCAGTTTTCTAATCAGCCAACCATTAATTTTTATTTTGTTCTACAAGAATGGGACTTT